TGGGAGGCACTGAGGCACTTAAAGGGCCCGCGGCCCACTGCCCGGCCCAGCGCAGAGCCGGCGGCCTGCAAAGCACCAGACTCCTGTCCCACAAAATTCGCTGCTAAAGCGCTGGCCTGCCAGAGGGCCAGGGCGTGTAGGGAAACTCTTCAGGGGCACTGGGGCATGTCCTCTGTACCCCCAGTACTCAGGGGCCACAGTTTCGTGCTCTCTTCCTTTTTGAAACCCCAGGCAACATTCCCCCCTCAGAGGGTACCATCTTCTCTCTCTCTCTCTCTCTCTCTCTCTCTCTCTCTCTCTCTCTCTCTCTCGGTCCCATGGGTCTGGAACTGTCAGAGAGACAGTTCCGGGCAGGCCACCACCCCAGGGCACTGCACAGAGAGGCTGAAATACACCCCAGTCTCTTTTGAAAAATTGGCCTGTTTGCTTGTCCGGGAGCTTTGGCCTGCGGGGCCGGCTCCTGGTGTGGGCACCCTAGGGACCCGTGAAGGGTCCTGGCGGAATAAACCAGGACCCCCTCTTGACCCCCCTCTCCACCTAGGTGTGGCCGGAAAGGAACTTACAGACTCATCTGGAGCCCCTATTTTTGTGATTGTCGCCCAAGAGACACCTCCAGATCTCCTGGTCTGGTGGCCAACAGGACTTAGGCTTGTGTTGACAGCTGCTGCCTGAGGGTCAGGCTTCCCAGCCTAAATCTAGAGGCTGCCTGAGGTCAGTCCCACGGGGACAGCAGGGCAGGTCTTGCACACACTTACGACTGGAGCCACCACAAAAGAGAACAGGCTGCTTGGACAGCCAAAAGGCTCCAGGGACTACCAAGGGCCAGGGCAGGGGTGACAGGAAGGTCCACCTCCTAGATGAGGCCACTCCTTCATGTCTGGGAGAGGTGGCTGTGTCATCTAATACACAGAAACCAACACAGAGTCAAGCAAGATGAAGAAATAAAGGAATATGTTCCTCTACACACGTACCCCCCAAAACACCTTAATAAAACAGAGATAAGAAAATAAATCAGAAGAGCCAAGTATGTACTTTTTTTTCTTTCTCTTTTTCCCCCTTCACTTAAACCTGTGCTTGGATTCATATAAGTCATCAGTTTGTCTCAGAAGCACCCCAAGGCACCCTCTGGACCCCTCTGTTCTAATAGCATCTTCATGTAGTTCCAGGGTTTCCTTTATTCTTGGTTTCTTGTGGCTTGGGGCCCAGTAAGCAGCTATCCAGTTGGCCATCTGACCACAACCCTTTATGGTGGAGGTGGGTGTGGAAGGGTGAGGGAAGAAGGAGAGGACACATTCCTGATAGCCTGGCTCGCCTTGGAACCGGATCAGTTACCAAGTTGAGAGAAACTTCTGTGTTCCTCACTAGTCCAAGAGTGCAGGAGAGAGGCCAAGACCGAAGGCAGTTCTCACTGGACACCTTAATCCAGGGGAGGAACTCGCCCTACAGTACCTCCAAATGTGTGTTCCCATCTCTCTCACGACTTTTGTTTTGTGCCTTTAGACTTTTGTCTGGGTTGCTCTCCTTGCTCAGAATGTCTTTCCCGCTCTCTCTCCGACTCTCTACTTCTCCTTCAAGCCTCAGACATCTGCTGCTTTAGGACAACTCCCTGTGTTTTTCTGTGTATTTCTGGCCCCAACATGCTCTCCGTATGAGCTCCCATAGCAACTGTACTTCTTCATACCTGTTCACATGTTTGTCTTTTCCAACAACTTGCAGGCTTATTCATCTCAACTTCATTCCTAACAGATTGGTTGGCCTTTAGCAGACAGTCAATAAATATTTATTGAATAAATAAGTTGAGTGGAGATTTAGGGATGCAAATAAGTTGAAACTAATCTTGTGAAACCCTAGTCCAGGTCTTATGACAAGCCTCCTCCAGGCATCTGACTTCTCTATTCACTGTTTCTGGCTGTGCAGGTACCATTGCCTAAGGGCTGGGATGAGACTGGGCAATTATTAAGAGATTTTTAATGATATGATAATAAAAGCTAGCATATATTAATGATTTCTAAGTCCCAGGCTCTGTCCTAATAACACTGCATATATTAATCATTTAATTCTCACAACAATTCTATAGGGTAGTCATCCGTGTTTTACAGATGGGGAAACTGAGCCTAGGGAGGTGAAGTGGCATACCTAGAACAACTCTCAACTGCTATGCGGACAGAGAGGGTTGAACCTTAATAACCTCAGGTCGATTCTGACTTTGAAAGGTGGACCTAGGTCACAGGAAGGAGTACCTACTCCTTTCTTCTTCTTTATCTGTCATCCCATGATTTAATTAGGCTCGCCTTTACCTTACATAACTCTTACCTTCTTTACCTTACATAACTCTTACTGCATACACCCAGCCACCACACCGCTGCAACAAGTATTTTTATTTCACCCTTTTCTGAATGAGCAGGGTTCCCATTGTAGGTGGGCTGGAAGGTGCTGCATGAGTGCAGTCATTATGCAGTCCTGAGGAAATGCAGAGGAGCTTAGGCTGTAAATGAGATGGCACTTTACTCATGCAGCCTGGGACAGAGCAAAAACATTGCTATTTCCCCCCACAACAAATCTCTCAAGAGCTGTCTCCTTGAAGCTCTTTGGTTCATAGGAAAAGTAGATCCTTTGAGGGGAAATGCATTATGCTGGGAAATAGGGTGTTCTATTCTACTCTGAAGGTTAGCTGGAATTTCTGTTGGAGCCACACAGTGACCTCTGTTGAGATCTGAGCTCATTACATAGTGAGGCCAAAGCGAAAAGGAAGAACTTATCAAGCAAGCTTTGAAACTCAGTTATATTTAGTTGAAAAATCATAAAATTAAAGAAGAAACTATGAATACAGTAGAGGTATCTCAAAAGGTTCTAGGGCTTCCCAGGGTGATGACATGAATACCCAGATTTTGCAGAGCTTAAAAACCAACGGAGCACACGTATTTTTAAAGAGTGCCATGGAGATTTGGAACATTTTTATATATTTTCACATGTGGTAATTTCCATATCCACTGTTAGGGAAAAAAAAGAAGTTATTTATAGTTATTGGAGCAAGGATATAGACTGAAATATCTATATGGTTTTTATTCCAGGGACACAGATTCTGGAATAGATTTTGCTGGCAAGAGAGGAAAGACAGGTTTGTTTTTCTCTAAATGTCTTTAGGAATGGAAGCTGCATCTTATAATTTAGTAGGAGTTCAGCTTGGAGGTGAAGTAATTGACTAAAATTTTAATACGCTGTATGCATTCTGTGAAATTAGTCTCTGAATTTAATATAATATGACTAGAGGCCTGGTGCACAAAAATTTGTGCACTCGGGGGGGGGGGTCCCTCAGACCAGCCTGTGCCCTCTCGCAGCCTGGGAGCCCTTGGGGGATGTCCACTTGCCAGCAGGGAGCAGGCCTAAGCTGCAGTCGGACATCCTTAGCGCTGCTGAGGAGGCGGGAGAGGCCCCTGCCACCACCGCTGTGCTGGCAGCCGTCAGCCTGGCTTGTGGCTGAGCAGAGCCCTCCCTGTGGGAGCGCACTGACCACCAGAGGGCAGCTCCTGCATTGAGCGTCTGCCCCCTGGTGATCACTGTGTGTCATAGTGACCAGTCATTCCCAGTTGCTCTGCTGTTAGGGTCAATTTGCATATTACCCTTTTATTATATAGAATTGAGACCAAAATGGCCAAAAGCAAAAAGAGTCAGAAAAAGAGTGCCCCCCAAAAGGCTCCTTTAAAAAAACACTAAGAATTAACTTGCCTAGGTGGAAAATATCAACTAGATATTCAACTGGCAACTTTAGGAAAAAAACAAGCAAACAATGGAATCTCAGTGAATTTTTCCCCTTTTTATCATAGCTCCCTCCTGGGAAGTGCTACAATTCTAGGTGAATTGATACTCCTCCTTTACCTCATTTTCATAAGGGGAGATTGTATTTGTGTGTGATATGTGTATTTTACTATGGTCCTACACGATATTAAAATTTCAAAGTAAAATAGACAGGTAAAGGACATTTATTGACACTGACCGAAACATGTACAAGTACTTCTGAAGAACAAGCTGAAAACATTTTCTGGTTTATTTTCTCACACAGAGACCCATCTTACTCTGAGGACAGAACGTAACAGCTTTCCTTTGTGGAAAATCACAAACAGGCAGTAAGCTTTGCCGAGAGAGCAGTTCCTGTCCTTAAAGAACTGCAGGGAGAGATGCTTCTAGCGAGTGGTAGTTGGTGCTCCCAGGCCTGGCAGGACAGGGCCAGATGAGAGAAGTGAGGGCACTACTGGAGTTTCACTATTTACAGCAACACTGACCGCGCTGGAGCTTTGCCTCTGGGCTCTCTTGAAAGATGTGGCTTGAAAAACAACCAGCACTGGGCTGAGGAAGTGCATCTGCAAAGCATGTGGCGCAGGTCATAAGAGTCCAGATTGTGTCCATGGCAGAGTGGCCTCCTGCTCAGAACAGTGTCCAAATAGCACACGTTGGCTGCACCGGGACTGTGACAGGTCACCACCAGGAGCAACCCTTTGATGTCCCAAAGAGCAGTTAGCATGGAAAAACTAAGCAAGAAAAGGCCTTTCCCACTGCCTCCTCTGTCTCTGGGGCAGGGAGGCCACTTACTGTAATCAACTGCTGTGATTGTGAAAGTTCGCCCATCATGAATATCATTCTTTCTGTTCAAATTGCTTCATCTGGGTCTTAAAAGGCATTTCAAAAACCAGATGATTCAGTAGAAAATGCAATGTGCAATTTCAGTCCAGAGTCAGAACTTTGAAGATATTTCTGCTTATTCAAGTTAATTTCTCCTCCAGAAATCTGAAATTAGGTATGGTAAGTTAACCATTACACACACAGAGCTGCTTTCAATAATTTAATTATTAGACTCATGCCCCCCAAAAGGAACTTGCATGAAATATTAACTATTACTCTTAAAGCAATTTGGACACAGTCACACACATATCAGGAAAGTAAAATAAAAATTCTCCCCAAAATGCCAGTGTTCTGTTTTGTTGGGAAAAATAATGACAACACAATTAGAGGTAAACAATATTTTCTTCGGCTCCATCTCCAGTTTCCCCATCTTGCCTGGTCAGTGTCTGTAGATTTAGCTTTGCTTCTGCTATAAATGTCTGCAGCTCAGGGCCAGGTGGGTTTGAGTCAGGGGGGGTTGGGAACTCAGCCTCAGAGATGTCCAAATCTGCAACAAACAGACAGCACAGGTCACAGGGGAGTCAGCATGAGACCCACAAGGCAGATGAACTATGACTCAGCCAGCCACAAGGAGAATGGTAGAATCCAGTGAGAAAGAAACAAAACAGGCATCTAATGATCTAATTAGTGTGATTAAGATATACTTGGTTGTGTGTACAAATGTCTCCTGTGGCTAAACATAACCTTCATAAAATACTCCTAGGGACATGTCAAATAAACAGACTTGTCACTATTTGTGGGCTGTGAAAACACTGCTATTGCTGAGAAAGGGTAATACCTATTTATTATTTATTTAGTTATTTTTTAAAATATGTTTTTATTTTAGAGCGAGAGGAAGGGGGGAGAGAGAGAAAAAGAGAGGGAGAGAGAGAGAGAGAGAGAGAGAGAGAGAGAGAGAGAGAGAGAGAAGTTGCCTACTGTACCAACCCCAACCAGAGACAGAACCCCCAACCTGGGCATGTGCCCTGACTGGGAATCAAACTCGTGACCTTTTGGTGCACGGGACGATACTCAACCAACTGAGCCACACCAGTCATGTTGGTACCCATTTATTTTTATTTTTATTTTTTTAAAATATATTTTATTGATTTTTTACAGAGAGGAAGGGAGAGGGATAGAGAGTTAGAAACATCAATGAGAGAGAAACATCGATCAGCTGCCTCCTGCGTACCCCCTACTGGGGATTTGCCTGCAACCAAGGTACATGCCCTTGACCGGAATCGAACCTGGGACCCTTGAGTCCGCAGGCCGATGCTCTATCCACTGAGCCAAACCGGTTAGGGCCCCATTTATTTTTAAAAATGAGTTCAAGATCTTAGAAATACAGTGCATACTCTAGCTACATGCAATTAACTATAGTATTTTTATCTGCATAGCACCTTCCCTCAAGTATCTCAAAATCAAGAATTGACCTCAAGACAAATAATGTATCTGGGATTTTGTTGATGTGGGTAAGGGATGGGGAGAAAGGAGTTGAAGGATGAAAACCCTTTAGCCTCGCCATTATGCAAATCTGTTAACACCACACAAATCACTTAGCAAGAGTAGCCAGGATCCTAGGGAAAATCGTTCCAATATCACTATGGTTTTTTCCTGTTACCTAGCAACAGCAGGGCATAGTCTATCCTCCTTTTTTTCTGGTAAAGCCCTCTAATACGGGGTTTTAAAGGGGAGGCAAAGGGGGATTTTGATTAGAAGAAAAGAAAGACTCTTGCTGCAAACCATTTTCTTTGCACTTGTTCCACTGACCATCCTCCCTGGGGCTCAGCCATGTGGCAAAATGACAAGTAACCAGCTCCAGTTGGAGCAGACAGCAGAGGGTGCGTGGAAACACAGGTGGGGAAGATGTGTAGCCCGGGGGCCCTCCTGCCTTTTTCCCAGTCATTAACAAGAAGCCATTATAATCCTTGCCACATTTATTCAAAGCCTCTATTATTTAGATGGATACACATAACCGCTGGCATTCTGACGACAAAAATGCTTGTGACTTTTGCCCTCTTGACAAGGATCTTTGGTGGTTAGAGAATGCGGAAGCAAGGCCTGGCAGGAATGAAGAGCAAATGTCCTTACAGGCTCCTGGGAGAGGGGGGGAAGAGGAGGTGGGGAGGAGAGTCTGCACTCCACACTCCGCTCAAAGGTTTAGGTCATCCATGACTCTAGATGCCACTGGGGCACAAAGAAAAAGCAATCCATTTCCATGGGAGTGACTTGATTTTCTGAACTCAAATCCAGATCCTGGGCCTCGAACACTGGAACTCACTAACTACTGAAAACACGCCCACTGAGGATGCCTCTGACTTCCACCGCGTCTAGAGTGCCTCCTCTGGGACGGTCCCTGGTCTTACCTCCTCATTTAACCAGGTAAACACAAATGCCCTCCCCCCGCCCCCTCATTGTCAGAGCAATATAAATCAGCCTAGGATGTTCTATGTCCTATCTCACCGCAATAGGAGACAAAGTATGTCTGTGTGGTCACAACACACTTTCATGATTTCAACTGTTTTTCCCAGCCGTTGAATGAAGAAGGCCATTCCCCCTCTAAACAAATATTCCCAGTTGAACTCCTGATGTTTAATATTACACAATCTAAAAAAAGAGAAACCCACACAAACCTCAACACTTCCATCCAGCTCACCTGAGACACTGCAGTGCGACCTCCTAGCCAGCAGACGGGCAGCCAGGGCACAAGAATAGGACATGGAGAACGAACAATCACCCATTGAATGCGGCGGTGAGGAGGTGATTACTGACAAATGGGACAATGCCAGGCATGATAGAAGCCAGTAATCCATGTAGTTTCCTTCCTCTGAGTGTGAACACTTTAGCAAGGAATCTAAAATACTGGTGAGTCTAGGTATCTGGTAAGTCCCCTTAATGGTTTCAAGAGAAAACTTGTTCAAAAAGAGCCAAATATATATCAGAAAGAATTCTTTTATGTGCCATATCCCTAGTTCAGGGAGACAGAAAAACAAGAATGATTGGGGGAAGGGTGGAGAATTAACGTGCGCATATGGGTGTAAGGGGGTATAGAAGTTTGATCAGAATTTTTTCAAGTAAGAATAGAAATACATTTCTAGGCAAGAGGTTGCTGGACCCTAAAGTGAATGGCACACGTTGTAATCCCAGATGTATTAATGGAGGTGGTTGTGGTGTGTGTCACCTGTAGGGGAACTCAATTTCCTTCTCCGTGTTCCTTCTTGGTTTCTACCTAGACTATTTAGGCAAGGTCAGACAGCCTGTCTTTGAAATTGAAAACCGTTCTGTGATTTCTGGTTTTATTACTCCACTTCAACCCTGAGAGAACTCCAACATAGCAGTTGTATATTTCTCAAGGTCAGTCACCTTTTTCCACACATTTTACCTTAGAGAGTGTAATCATCATATAGAACTTCCAACTCAAAAAACATTCGTTAAATAAAACCTCACTGATTCAGAAAGCAGAATTCTTGGGGAGTAAAGTTAATCATCCTATTTGATTCGTGACCAAAATGCCAGCACATTGCTGGACATAAAAATAGAATATCTCATTTTTTAAATAAGTAAAGAAATAGTAATACAGTCATAATTTGGGCGATAAAAAGCCAAACGCTACTATAATAAAACAAACTTTAAACTACAAAGAACTTTTCAATCTAGTGTCTCAACACAACTTTCTCCCTTAGTTGACATAAAAGAACTACCTTCCCATCCCTCTGGAAATTAAACAGGGTGAGCATTGTTGTCCTTAAAATAAGAGCACATAAGATGAAAGACATAAAAGTCCAAATGCCCCGTTAAACCAAGTGGAGCAGTAGAATCTTGGTGCAGGGTTTTTTCTAGTTAACACTGAACTTTTATTCTGATCCTAAAACTTCATCCTTCATGGGAAATTTCCTTAGACCCATTATGGAGTTTTCGGAAACTTTCTGCACTGACACCCAGCGACAGTTCCCTCAACCTCCCTGTCTTTAGCCCTTAGTTGCAACCTGCTGGTTGACATTTGCGTTTATCATTTTCACACTTTGCTCACCAGCTATTGGAACATCAGGGGAGTGAATCTGGAGTCTGAGACGACATACAGCCATGGCACTCAGCTCCTGAAAAGCTGACACCAGTCGGAAGTAATATTGGCCTTCCCTTCATTGGCTCACCGTCATCCTTCTTTTGCGCCAACTGAATCATTGGTTATTTTCAAGACCAGACTATAAACTCAAGGTGTAAAATGCACCCATGTGCCATATTAAAAATGAACAAAGTGCCTTCTAAGCTGAGAACGGAATGAAATCTTTTAAACCACAAGGCAAAATGTAACCTTGGGCTAGTCATTTCCCTTCCTCTGGGCTTCAGTTCATAAAGAACAGGGATCATCATTCAGGCCTCTTAAGCGTCTTACGTCAGAATTTTTACATCTGTTTCCTGGCCTGGTGACTCACCAAATAATCTTCTAGAGGTGCAACAAATGCATGCAGTTTTCAACTGCTTTATGCTCAAGGAATGCACATTTATTACCCTAAGTTGCATTTTAAAATAATGTCCTTAGGGTAATTTCCAGACATGTGTCCCATCCTCTAGCTTCAATCTTCCCAACATCACATAGTTGAGCTGAGCCCTCGTACAGTCCCCAGGGCAGGATTTGGGAAGCCACCTAGTAAGTGGACGATAACGCCCACAGTGGAGACCTGTACCTGGCCTTTCCCTCTATGATCAGCCAACATAAGGGTAACTTGTCATAAAGAACAGGTCTGTGACAAGTCAGAAAGGGCTGTTTATCATTTAAAAATATTTAATTAATGTAGTCTTTGCCATTGTCCGCATTTCCTGAAAAGCATCTTAAATCATAATTTTTAAACAGAAGCTTATTGAAAGCACCAGATACTTTTCATTACAAAAATCAACTCCCAAGGTCTGAGTGTAGCTCCACAGTGTAGCACCTGACCAGGCACCAGCAGCCCAGCACGACAGAAAGGATGCCGAGTCTACTCTTGAGATTAGTGGTGATGCCTCGTTTAGCCATGTCTCATCCTGTTCCACTCTCCCCAACGAAACTCACAGGACAGAGGTTCGTGTATTCTGGGTCTGGGCTCTGTTCTTGTTTATTTTAATGAAGCATTCTGACTTGCACTTCATACTCTATCCCTTGTGCATGTTCCTAAAATCAAAATTCACACTCTCCTAAAATAACTCTACCTTCAAAAAATGCTGTCATTAATGTTCCAAGTCTGCAAAGTAAGTTGTTTCCCCTACTTAATGATTGATTCGTGCTTATACTGTGAAACATTTTAAAAATCGTTTCCTGATGGCATTACTGGCAATCACTATTTTTTCTCAGGAGCACTAATGCGCAGCATTTTCCTTCTAATGGAAAACACTTATTGTACAAAGCGTGAGGTGTCTTTAGAGCAAAGGAAAATTGGTCTCTGTCCCTCATTTTGCTCAACTCCATTTTCCGTAGCGAACCACAGACAGGATGTGAGCCTCTGGCATGAAAACCACTCTGGAACTGCTATC